GCTGTCTGGCCAACTGGTCAAACACCTCCCTAAGCCAAGTCATAAGCGGACCATAAGGTGGCGACTGCTTATTCTCAGACACTCCCGGAACAGGCGACCTACTGCCTGTTGCAGACCTCCAGACCCGGCGACTACACCGACTGGAATGCGACTCTGGACTTCAACCCACTCATGGCTGGAGTGCACTCGTCTGGGAGTCACTTACTCATTTCTTATATTCTACTCCCTCTACACCTTATTAAATCATCCATAACACTTACACTCTCAAATTCTCAATACAGTTGTCGCCGGCTATTAAGCCCACCTCGGGCCCAGACCAAATTGGGCTTAATAAGCGGCTGGGCCTATTAACCGTGGCTTAATAACCGGCGATTACTGTATCCCACATATCCGTGACTGACTGAGAATCAGACTGAGTGTAGCGGCTAATATGTACGCGGCTCATATACGCGTACCACACATGACCTGGTGCATACAGCGAGTTAGTGCGACTTCCATTTTTGCGCGTACCCTTCGACGGCAACTTATTTAGGCTTAACAGCAGGACGTTACGCTTGCCGATTTTATGCGAGACCCCCCTAAGGTCTGGGCGCACACCGATCTATTGACTTCCCAAATTTAATCACGCTCTGTATGGGTGGCAAGGGTCACAGCAGGTCACCAACTGCCAGTTCGAAGTCGACCAAGCAAAGATTTTGAGATGACAGGGAATGTGGGCAGGTTGATATGGAACTATTTCAGCCTAATTTTACCCTCCTTTCAACCAATTATAATTCGTAGCACCAGCTGCGAGTAAAGGCGAAAATCGCCTCCTGAAAAAAACAAACTTTAAGTGTCTTCTATTTTGGAAATGCCTTCACGTCCCTAATATCCTCCCACATGGCTGTTGTTCATAGGTGATTTTCCAACTTGTGTTTCACTACTACGACTAATATTACTGAAGGCTACTACGCAACGTCCTTTTTATGACTGTGAAGTCTTTTGAGTTTAAATGTGTATTTAGTGACTAGCTCCACACAAAGTCCACTTGTGAACGCTTGTAGTGACTAGCTCAAGTCGAAGTGCGTGTTTGGAACGCTCGCTGGTTCCGGTCTCGATAACAACCAATCAAACGCCGATTCACACAAGACTTCATTTGACGACTGCCGAGCAGATCCCACTACAGACGCCGTCCGCTGGCTTACGATTATGCAGTCGTCTGGTAATCAATTTCCTACTATCTATTCTCCTACTCCTTCCATACAGAATATACCGTTCCTAACAATATGCCTTTCCCAAGACTTCTCTCATCTCCTAAAGAACTGGGCCTGGAAGCTCGCAGCCATTAGGTTTAATCTGAATAGTCTACACACCACGCGATAACTGGTGACTTCCCGACGTGTCCCACTCTCCTTGCTAAGTATCACCTCCGCTCCTAAGCGTAGAAGTGACTAAACGTGACATAGCTCAGTGATCAATTGAGAAAAAAACACATCAGCCTCTCAACAAAACTCATCGCAATGCTGTCATCAACTGTTAGGACTGTGACAAACTTCACATGCAAGCTTTCTAACGAAAATTTCAAGAATTTTTTTACAGAGAAATATCGTACATTGAGCTTTAAACGGAATTTCAGACCAATGGAAAAGAGCTCGTGCAATTATTTCTTAGTTCACCCCCCCCCCTCTGTTCCTTCGAATTACTGCTTACCACAGATTCAAGGCCCTAAAGATATCCCATTTTGGTTGTCCAGTTTGCCGCCGTGAGCGAAGGTAAAAGCTAATGAATGAAGAATTTTGCGGAAATACGCCTTGCCGACCATACAATCTTCACCCGTTAACATTCAGTTCGTCCGTGAAACGTGAAATAACGCAATATTTTGATATCGACTAACGGCAAATCTGTGATACGACGAAAAGAAGAACAGACTGTTCTGGACGAGAAAGCCCTTGATTCGGCCTACATTGGATGCTTTCTGTACACGGCCACCTTCGCGCGCGGCCCCAAGGCGAATCAGTGCAGTCGAACGTTGCTGGGGTTGATTTTAATTGGATAAACCTTACAGATCTAGCCAATAAACTACAAGAACTCTGACGCGACACCCCAATTGGACTGAGAAAACCAATCAGACGAGGAGCATTGCATGCACCCAAGGCTGAGCGAGACAATGTACCGCCATTTAAGGCAGAAACCATCGACTATCCGTAACTGTAGCATGGCCGCGCATGGTTTTTGCCTGGGATGGGCTGCCTTCTGCCTGTTGTCAACACTGAATCTGTTAGTCGGTGGACTAATCGACCAGGATGGCTATGTCCACGCCGACTACGATTCCGATAATACCGTCACTCTCACCATCCCACGGACGCTCCTTCCTGATGTGCCCAACCGAGTCCAGCTTCGGTCCGCGCATCCAGTATCTAGACTGAGAATCGACTCCTTTGTCTATGGCCTCTCCCATGCTACTCCCATGAACCAATCCTATCGTCTTACTGCGAAAAGAAGCGCCGACGGTCTCTATAGAGCTGACGTTGACTTCCGTCCGCCGTTCGTAACCGAGGAAGGAGGAGCAATCAATCTTAATGTGACCTACGAGTATTGCCCAGCAAAGGAAGACGGCGAACAGAAGGATGAATCTGACGACACTGTGGAGAGTGCCGGAAAGGAATGCGATGATGTTGATGATGATGACGACGAAGCTTGCGAAGAGCCGAAGAAGAAAAGTCAGGTGATATATGCCTCATTTGTGCGCAAATTTATTGTTATTCTGGGTGAGTCGGACAAGCCAATTTACAGGCCTGGCGAGAACATTCGTTTTCGTTTTATTGCCCTCAACTCCCGACAGCTTCAGCCAACTACGGAACAGCTCCAATGGCCCAAATTTCTAATTGACAGGCGAGACTACATGCATCCGAAACTTGTAGAAATCTCGGAGGAGGAGAGACGCAGGCATGAAATGCCTCCAGAATTCGACGTGATCTACATAGAAGATCCCAATGGAAACCGAGTCAAGGAGTGGAAGAATGTTCCGCAGACGACGGCATTTAACTTATCCTTCCCTCTGCTCTCTGATGCATCTGAGGGTGTTTGGCGACTTGTAGCCACCGCTTTTACCAGCAGGAAAACGCTTGAAGTAGATGTGAAGAAGTACGTTCTTCCACGTTTCCTGGCGTCAATCCAGATTCCCACGGAAGTGGAAATTAAGGCGGAGACAACAACATTCAATGTCTGTGCAACTTACACCAATGGAAATTCCTTCCAGGGGCACTACGATGCACAGATTTGCGTCTGTTCTGGAATGAAATTGAGGCAGCAACAGGTCCTAGGCATCCCATTCGAGAACAACGTGTGCTTGTCTGGAACAGGTGAGAGGAAAACTGGAGGCCGGTGTGTTCGTGTTGCTGGTAGCCTTTCTGTCACACCTGAAAATGGAGGGTGCGTAAGTGCGAACGTCACCATGGAATCACTGATGAGCCATGCCCAGGGGAGGTATGGCTGGGGTCAACAGGTCGGTTTCATCGTCACCATCAGCG